CTTGTGCAACATCAGCAATTCTCTGTGCCGGCTTCTTGACCTAGCGCTCTTGGCCTGGCTTCTTTCCTCAAACCTCAGTCCACCCTTTCCCTTTTAACCTTCTCCCATCCCTTATAGCGGACACACATTGTCATCAAATGGCTAAGAAGTTCTTTTAATTCTTGTTTGTCACTTCACTTCCAAACTAACTACTCAGACCTCTAACTTTTTTACTCAATATCTCATTAGTCCGAATGTCATGGCCTTGCATCACTCAGTATACTTTTCCACAAGGTCTTTTCAACTAGGCCGCTTGATTCATGAACATCTAAACACCCCAGTATGCTCCTCATAAAAAAATACATTAACATTTTTATTATCTTTGCTTAAAAGATGTACTTTAATATACTTTTAATAGGCTACAAAAAATCTTTAGATTTGGAGCACACTGTGTTGAATAAAGAGGTAACAGCTTGTACTCATTAGCAGATGTATGTTTTTGTTTTGTTTTGTTTTAATGTTATACTTTGCTTGACTAAGAGAAAGAAATTTAAAAAGTAGCCTTAAACTTCTAAGGGATAATTTCATCAAGAGGCAATCCTACTTTCCTCATCTGATCCAACAACCTCTGAAGCCTAGACAAGTGATCAAATAGCTCCTTTTGATGACAGATAACGTTTAAGGGAGGAGATGAAAGGTGGTTAGCCCTTCAATGCCCGGTGACCCCTTTTTGGAATGCCTATAACAATGGAATATAATGAAATGTATTCTCTTCAAATTCTTGTTCCTTGAATGTTTCTGGGTAACATATATGAATTTCATGCAAAAATTCAAAAAATTTCAATTGCATAAATGGGTTAGCTAAGTACTTGAATTACAGCTGAAAGAAACCTAGACATCCTCCTTTATTTGCCCTGTCTCCACCTCTCCTGGAACTCATGAGTAGTGTGGGAGAAGGACACTGAATAACAACATTTAAAGGACAATGGGTGTGGCAAGGGGGGAAGACTGGTATGATATTAGAGGTCACAGCTCTCCAAGGTTCAGATGGGGTTTAGAGAGGCCCTTCTGAGATAGTGTGCAGATGCCGCATCGATTTTTGGCCTCATTTCTACCCATCCTTCAAAAACCAGCTTGGATTTCAGGTCCTTCTAGAAGCCAAGTCTGCATTGTCCTCACAAAGTCTAGATCTATCTTCATCTTGACAAAATTTTGTGTAATATCTCTATCCTGGCATAGAAAAGATATATGGGATTTATAATGTATTTCCCAACTAGAGAATGCACTCTGGCATAGTTTCCCTATATGTTAAGTGTATTAAATTTTGTTGAATAAATCAATATTTATCAAGGAAAAATAACAAGTATTTAATTTCTGTCTAGATGCTTGTATCAGTAGCCAAAGCAAAAGATAAAAATAGATAAAAGTTCTAACCAGACTATTTGGGGCAACAGTTTGGAGCATAGAGTAAGGGCTAGATAACTCAGTGTCTAAGACGTCTCTGCTTCTGAAACCAGTGGGTTACAATGGTTAAAATCAGTGTGTTAAAATATATATTGGAACATTTTAGCCCCATAGTCTCAGAAGATACTTTATTAGGATTTGTTTTTGGACACTGAAATTAAAAAAAAAAAAATCTCTGTACATATAAAAATAACCTAAGAAGTTTGGGACTTTAATTATGGTTTTAAAAGGCACAGACAATATACCTGTAATAAAACAAATGTATTCTGATAATAAAAGATTAAAATTGCAGCTAATTAGCTTAAATTTGGGCTTTGGACACATCTATTTTATATATACGTTATGTCTTCTATGATCTAACAGGCCATAAATTTATTAAAATACAGATGTTTTAGTACTAATTTTAGTACTAATTTTACTAAAAGAAATAAAGAATGGTCATAATTAATTCCAGAAGATTATTTTTATAATCCTAGCCTTAGTCTGTGAAAACAGTGCTATCTAGTGGTTAAATCTGGGAACAAGAGGTGAGGCACACTAGAGGCTGGGGAACTTCCAAAAAGTTGATTTTTAATATTTCAGCTTTATGTCATGAGAAGAAAAAAAGCAGATGGGTTATCAGCTTCTGAGAGGGAGAGGGGATTAGGTACTATTCAAACAGTTGTTTCCAGAGTATGACATTGTTAGGGTTCATATCTAGATGCCCTCCCCCACCATGTGCTCTTAGGTGGGGCTCTTGGGAGGGGATTGGAACATGGACATGTGATGGTCATTAGTAGATTAGTTCACTGATGAAGTTATAACTAAATTGTCATTGGTTGGAGGATTTCCCCACCTGCTATCTCTCTTCTTGCCTGCCATGCTACGAGTGGTTTCTCCTCTGCCATGCTGCCCTGCTTTGGAGACAGCTGACTATGGACTGAAACCTCTACAAACTGTGAGTTAAAATAACCCTTTCCTCCTTAGAGTTATGGGTGTCACGTATTGTGTCTGAGCAATGAGAGAGTAACTCAGACAGACATGGCAAAGACATTAAGAACTTGGACTGCGAAGTCAGTCCAACCTGAGTTCAATACTTGGCTATAAGACTATTTTAAGCAATCTATCAGATCTGTTTAATCTTTGTTGTCAACTATAGAGATAAAATTAGGAACTATTTTTGAGTTATTGAGAAGATTAAATGGGATGATGTGTTTAAAATATTCAGCATGGTGCTTGGCATTCAGTAAGCCAAATAACTCAGGAAAAATTTGCTTATTATTAATCCTGCTAATAATGTTACTATTTTACTTAGGATGTAAATAAGTAGGTATAATTTGAAATAATTGTAGAGAGTTTTATAAATCTTACAAGCAGATTATGAGATTAGTATCAATAAATGTACTTGTAGAAAATATAAATATGAGACAGTTTTAACTATATGGAAGCAAACTAAAAAGTAAAATAGGTTTGACGTTACACTATAATTGGACAGTTCAGATATGGGGTTAGTGTTTTCACTGAAAACGAAGTAATGTTTAGAAACAGATTACAAAATGAACTCTGAAATATCATCATATTCTACAAATAATCATGATCCTTTTTGCAATAAAGACATTTTCCTTAACCAAATCCTACAGTTTTCACAACATCTAGACTAATAAATATACCTTTATACAGCTAATTCCTAAAGATAAATTTCATCATTTGGATTTCTTTCTACTTGGTTAGAAATGTAAAAGAGAAACACAACAAATATAAATGGAAAATAATTTCTAAAAATATTTTCATTTATTACATTTAAATTGGAAAAGAGAAACTGATCTTTGTGAAAAATCTTTCACTTGCCATATAACCTACTGGCTTTACTATAATAATGGTCTTAGACTTTAACATAGTATATATTAGCTTTATAGAAATGTAATGTTTATCTTTTTTTAAACAATGAAAGACATAGCATAATTTTTAATTAATTAGAACAGAGCTATTATATCCCAAACATCTTGCTAACACTGTCACAGGAGTACTAGGTTCCCCAAGGTTGGTATACAAAAGTATTTTAAATTATCTTCCCCTACATAATATCTAAAATATTTATTTTATTATATATTATATTATTATATATTATATAGAATATATTATATTATTTTAAATTAAGCTCTATTATTATATATTATGTATATTATATTATTTTAAATTAAGCAAGAGTGTTCTAATTATTATATCTTGGCTCTTTAATGTATAATCATTGTTCTTTAATGTCTTACAGTGAGGGGTGAATTGTTTATCTTATCAATAATTGAAGTATCAATATGTAATAAAAAGAGATGTGCAGCAGGAATTAGAGCACTGTGTTACAGTCACAGCTGTGTCACTACCTCTGTACTCTTGGGAAGTTTTTAGCCTCTCTGGGTTTCTGTTTACTTGTCTACTAAGCAAAATAATCTCTAAGGTCCAGGACAGTGCTATCTTCTATAATTTTTGCCATAATTTAGTATGTCATAATGGCTCGAAATTATAAACCCCAAATCAAGAATTACTTATTTAAAATGAACTTTATTCCAATTCTTTTTTCTTATTGTAACAGAAAAAAGAGGGGGAAAAAAAAACAATCACAAAGACATACGGAAAGAAGTAATAGAAGACCTGGAGAATTACCTACCTTTCCTCTTACATATTAAGCATTTACTATATATACCTTGCCTTGGGCAGTTAGAACCCACATAGTTATTAAGGAATCATTCCATCTGGGTCTTTTCTTATTTACCTCATTATTCTAGGTCACCTAGAAATGTGGCAAAACTTTCCTTTTCCATCACACAGGAATACTTACAGATTAACTCATTAACATCCAAAAAACCTCTGAATGAAATCTGCAAATTACTTTTCCATTTACAGACATGCCACACGTTGACAACACACTCACTCTGAATAACAGCACTCACATGTAGGTAAGAAGAACCCAATCAAGCCTAGTGGTTCCCGGAATATAGGAAGAGGGCTCCATGTAGGTAAATATATCAGATTAGGAAGAGATATTTGAAAGCAGTCAGTCTTAAACTAATATCAGAGATGAAGTCAATTCACCTTTTTAGAAATTGTACATGTCCTTTCACAATAATATCAAAAGGAGTTCATCTGCATTTATGATTTTGTTGAAATGCAAGTCAAAATATTTCTACCTGTACTGGCAAAAATGCTAGAGTAAATTGCTTCAAATTATATCTTGACATTTAGAAAATACACTATTTAAAAATGGTGTTAATGAGAGCACAGTGCTTTGAAAAGGTGCACTGGACAAGAGTGTTTGCAAATGCGTGAAGGTAACTTTGAATCATCATGATAATAAAGTACCTATTCACCCCAGATCTGAAAAGAAAAACCCAAGAAGCAACCTCAAGGCAATAATGTAAGAATGGAAAACATCAGTACACAGTCGCATAGCAAATATGCACATCTACACATTTGTACTTAGTAATATTGAAACTTGAGAATTTCACAAGAGCCTTCTAAAATCACAGAGCAACAGGATAAAAGTAGATGAGAAGAACATGCAATTTATGTATAAGGTTTATTACCATGGTTACAAACTTTCAGAACAGGCCTCTGAGACATTGGACTGAGACTTTGCTGAGTATCTGTTAAAAAATACAAAAGAAATTTAATATAGAGATCTATTCATCTCAAGAAGTATGACAGTACTAGACATGCTTTCTCCAAGGTTAAGTGTTTCTGAAGGCAAGGGAATGCTTCACTACCCTGAAATACTTGAAGCGGTAATGTTATGACTTTTACTTCCCATTTAATTATGGTACTGTAAACTCCACTAGGACAAGGTACATATGGTTCTTTAGATGAGACTTGTCATACTAATCAGGATTTTATAGGTTCAGTGCGTTGATCTGTTAATGTGCTACTGACATCAGCCAACTGGAATGAGTATCTCTCTGACATTTGTCTGTGCAAAGGATTAAGCAAACTTACGAAACTTCTGAACAGTTGTTGCCCACAGCACTGCATTCTTGACACATGACTTTAAAAGAATTAAGGGAAAAAAACGTCCTCTGTGATAATTCCCTAGAAAGTAAAACATGAAACAAGTACCGTGTTCACCTTTCGGCTTCGGTGTCCTTTTTCTTCTGTCGCGGAAGGCAGCCCCCGACTGCAAGGCCTCCAGCAGACTATCCATCACCCCTGCCTCATCACCCTCTGTGAAAAGAGATGCAGGGAATTCCATCAGCCCTCGGGGTTATCACAGAAATGTCAAAGCACAGACAGAAACTGGTGATGGTACAGAGGGAAAAGACCAGATGCCAGGACTAAGCCAGCAATTTCAAAATTTTAAATGCTTGAACTCTCTCATAAATCAACTAATTTTTAATGAAATCTGTCTCATTAGTGCTTGTGTTACTGTCCACTAAAGAAGACCGAGTTACATCGATTCACTTCAGAGCACTGTTTTTATAGTGCAAAGGCACAATAGGTTTAAATTGAATGTGATTGAGTCATATCTATGTCTTGAGATATAATAAATCCTATTTCCCTGGTAGAAATGGGTTTTTAAGGTATCAGTCTCTGTTCTAAAACTGACCAAATGTAAGACAGTGTTTTGGTTGTTGTTAGTGAAATTCTACTGTCTGAACTTATCACATAAAATAATGTTTCCATGGTAACTTTTAGAACATCTCCTAACGAATTATTTTTTTCATATAGAGAATAATTGTCCCGACTTGAAATGACACAGCACAGTCACTACGAAACAGAAGGTATAAAAGTTTATCTTCTATAAAAAATAACTTGTCAGAAATCTAACAGACTACAGTCTACTATGTTTAATTGACATTCTGTAGATAATTAACAAAGGATGTATAGAACCAATTCTGTTCACAAATAACAGATTATATAATATCCATGTATACTTATAGTTATCAGTGCTTAATATTATTCAAAAGAAGGAGGAGAAAATGCTTCAAATAAGCTGTTGGTCCAATCCAAATTCAAGGAAACACTAAGGGCTTTTTTGTCCCTCTAAAGAGAGGTCATTTGCAGGCATTCTCTATGAAACTGCATGGCTTGAATAACATTACATCTGAAATTGTTTTCTTCTGACTTTTTATTTCTTTTGTTTTCCTTTTTGAAACACATTTCCTTTATAGAGAATAGGTGACAAGTGAATGCAGTAGAGTACAAATAGCACACTCATTTACAGTTTACAAACAGATATATAAATATAAATATGTATCAGCCACTTTTCCATCGGGTTCTGTTTCATATTTTTAGAAGAGTACTAAACTTTGTAGGTGTTATCAAAAAAGGTGGGTGAAAAACGGTATTTGGAGGCTGTTAATTTACACATGCATTTAATTCTAAATTGGCTTATTGACTTTTTAATTAACATACACTAAATATTTCAGACAGTTTAGTAGGTAATTACCTATCTTTGAAAACTTACACTCAAACTTAAGTGTGTTTTTCTGAAAAAGAACTACAGATAATACCATGTATTTAAGGTTATGACTACATTTCGTTAGTAAAACACTTTGAAAATCTAAAATTAAATGTAACCTCATGGACTTACAAAAGCGTGACGCTATTAAAAACCTTCAAGTTGAAATTAAACATTAACAAATGAAATGTTATCATATTGATAGAATTAGCTATTAAAGAAAAAAATTAGTCCAAGAAACTTTTAAACATTTTTAATGGCATATTCTTTAATGAAAAAAAAGCTAAAAATAAAACTTAAACTTTCACCTTAGTAAATTTGTTGTGGGTAAAGGTGTATAATAATTCTGAAAAACCATGAGCTGTTTAGTATAAGATTGAGCAAGGTAAATGTGTTGTTGTTAGCAACAGTGATGCTTGCTGTGGGAAAGGAAATACAAATCTGGAAAGGGACAAGAAAAGGAAGAAACCCTGAAGTACTGGATTGAATTTACAGGAATCAATTTAGGCTCAAGGATTTAGAAAAAAATACTTTCCCCAGGTTTGTGGACCAAAAAAGTACAGAAACAATGATACTGCTGCATCAGTGAGCACGCTATCCTTCCCATTTTGGTTTCTAAATACCATTACTCACTGAAAGAAACCAGACAGGGCCGGGGATTTAGCTCAGTGGCGCTGAGCCTGCCTCCTAAGCACAAGATCCTGAGTTCGAAGAACTCAGAAGAAACCAGACAGAGAAACAGCCATTCTACCTCTGAGGCCAGAGCAAGAACATTGTGTTGAATTAGGGAAGGAAAAAAAGTACTGAAAAAAACAAAACAAAACAACAACAACAAAACAGGGATGTGCCAAAAGGACAGATTAAAGAGTTGCTTGGCTAAACTTAGGACTATTAGAGCTTTGAGTAAGTAATGATGAGAATGGATCATTGCACACTGGGAGAGGAAGACTTATGTATCCACAATGACACTAAAAAAATAAAAATGGAGGAAAGTAAGGTATTATTTACAAAGGGATGTCAACTAGTAGATGTCAAAGATATGAAGGATATAAAAAATTCATATTACAATTGATAGTAAGAAATAACTTAAGCAAGAATCACTGCTGGTTGCAAAAAGTGTTGTGTGTAAGGCTGTGAGGAAATGGGATATAGAAAAGTGCAGTAGATATTACTTTACCCAAATAATCAAATTTGACATAACCAATAATAGGATGCATTGCCATTAATTGCCTCCTGAAATGATAGATGACATAACCTGTGTAGTGCTTTGCACAGAAATATCTAACCTGCATCCAAATGTGACAAAACATACATATGGGGGAGTGAATATTTAAATTTCAAATACTTATCATATAGTAAAGGCACATTGCTACTAATCCTCTTCAAAATACTCCCCCTTATGTTCTAGAACACTCATCCCCATCATTCTTGCCACTTTCTGAAGCAATTCTGAAAGTCCTTTTTCATGTCTTTAGTAGCTCTGCTGTGGTGGCTGCAAAGTCATCAATCAATTCAAAATGTTTCCTTCTCATGGTTATTTTGACTTTAGGAAAAGCCTGAAGTTGCAAGGTACCAGATCTGGTGAGTCGGGGAATAAAGACCACCTGGCTTTCAGAAGCCCGCTTTTCCACTGGATGGCATTTGGCAGCAGCCCTTCCTGCATTTTTTAATCACTCCTCCTAAAGACACTCACAGAAGAAGACTTCCAGAACTGCTTCAGGAAGTGGCAAGAATGATAGGATAAGTGTATTCAAATTGAAGAAGTATTTTGAGGGAAATTAATAGCAGTGTAATAAATTTTTATTTAAACATATTTTGATTAGTTCTTATAAATCCAAAGAAAGGGATATTTGATGACATTAACAAGTGCTAAAAATCAAGACTATCAGGTAAGACCAAGAAAGGTATAGTAAAAAGGAAGGGAAAGGAAAATATTAGGAAAATTGTTCTAGATTACAGGAGACTCAAGGGACAGGATATCTAAATATAGCAGTCTTTGATGAGCTCCTGGATTGTAAAAAAAGTCAAAAATAACATTATGGGGAAATCTGAATATGGACTGGATGTTAGATTATCATACTGTACCAATCTTAAATTATCAGCATATTATGGCTACAAAGAATAGTTTCATTGTTCTCAGGAGACAGATGCTGACATATTTAGACTCATTAAGCAACGTACTCACATTCCCATGTTTTCTACTTCATGCCTTTGAGCATCCTATTCTTTCTGTATGGAATCTTTCTTGTTTCCTTCATTGAGGTAGCTCTTGTCTTTCCTTCAAGGCAGAGAATTTCAAATCCTCTCCTGACCAATGTAGGCTGAACTGTTGCCTTCTATGTTGCAGTGCCATTAGTACATATAGCAATAAATCTTTTCCAATATTATACTGATTACTTGACTGTTTCTACCACTAGAATAGGAGCTCATTGTGGACAGGAATTATATATTGCATTTATCTTTAATCCCTAAAAATGTGCTTATTACATAGGAAGTATACAGTAAATAAGTATGATGACCAAACTAACAAATGAAGCATTAAGATGGCCAGCTGGAAGGACTGAGCATGCAGGAGACTAAAGGTCAAAGATGGACAGGAGGCCAGAAAAGTATTAGGTAATCCCTGCTACCACTGTAAATGACTGCTTTGCTGCTTCTTTTTCCCTTGGTGCATACATTTCTTTAGTTTCTAAATTTTGTTGACTGAAATTTCTCAGTATTTCCCAAATTGTTCTGATCTTTCTTTTCCAACTATGCATTGGTGCTACAGAATGGAAGTATTTTTCACCTAGAATACTGTGTGAGTTACCTAGAAAGTCGTGTTGCCTCTAGTTTTTTCCCTAATTCTAATGTATCCCATATGTTATAGATAAATCCTAAAGCAGAATTACGATCTTCAATCCCCCCCAGTTGCAAAGTTTCAATATTTGTTATTTCCCACAGTATAAAATTAAAAATCTTTCATTTCCCCTTCACCATGATTCCAGTTGCTTTTCTAATCTCACTTTTTTCTTTACAACCTACTCTTCAGCTAAAAGCAACTTCCTGTGATTCTCCACTGATATTCTTCTATCTCCTGTCCATCACTCTCTACCACGGACACACTATATCTCTGCTCTTGTCCTCCAGAGCTGATGGCTCTTCTTGACCTTCTCTCCCATAAACATATGGAAATAGCAATGAACCTGCTTTCTAACCTGTGCTCTCAACTACCTGTGTGAAACTGGACTATTTACATATTCATTCCTGGCATGAACAACAAAGATAATATCTGTCTAGGGTTAATGAAGGGCTCAGAAGAGAATAGAAATGAAAGCACTTGCTAAATTGCTACGTGATTTAAAAGTGTAGGGAAATAAATTCACAAATGAACTTCATAGTGAATACAGGAAGTTTATGAAATATCTGCTTATTAAATGGTTCAAGCACCATTTTAGATACATTTCAAATTAAGTCTTTTAGAGTACATTTGCTTATGTCAGTTCTAAGGGTAACTGTGAAATACAAATTAGACTCTTGAAATAAAATGAATATGGAAGGTGGGGATGTTATAATGTTAAAAGAGCATTTAGTACATCTACACAAGTTTACTTGGTACATGGTACAGTCTTCCAGGATACTACTAGGCAATAAAGATACCTAGGCCTAAGAGTTAGTTAGAAATCTCTTCTTCCCTTAGAAGCATAACAGTGTGCTAGGCACAAGAGGGATGTATCGTAGATGAGTTACTGGGAGTGTAAGGATTCATAGTGAATGATGACTG